TATTCTTACTGTATATTTTCCATGTTTAGATACACAAATACCATTGTGTTACAATTGCCTACAGTACTCAGTACATTAATATGCTGTACAGGTTTGTGCCTAGGAGAAAAAGCTGTAACATCTAGCCTAGGTGTGTAGTAGACTATACTAGCTAGCTTTGTGTAAGTACAGCCTATAATGTTCACATCATAATGAAATTGCCTAAAAATATATTTCTCAGAATTGACTGTAATTTACTTTTGGTTATTTATTTTTTAAACATTTTATTCCTGCTTCTGGTCTTTTCACTTTCTTAAAGGTATTCTTTTGATGAACAGAAGTTTTTAAGTTTAATGTAGTCAGTTTTCTCAGTGGCTCATTTAAAAACATTTCTAAAAACTGAGGTCATAAAGGTATTCTTCTACACTGTCTTCCAAATTTTATATTTTTACTTTTCACATTTGAGTAGTCAGTCCACTTGAAATGGAATTTTGGATATGGATTATATGCGGGGGCTCAACTTCACTATATTCTCTTTATTGAAGAGCCAAACATTTCTCCACTCTTCTAGGCTGTTATCTATGTCATAAAATCAGGTTTTCGTATATCTAAAGGGCTATTTCTGGGTTCCTTGACCAACTTGCTCATTCTTTTGCCTTAAAGTCTAAATTTACTAAAGTTTAATAATAATTATTTCCATTTTAAAGCATGTGAAATGTCATGGTTATTTCTGGTGTACTGTCCTTTCATGTGTATTTTAGCAATAGCTTACCAAATTCCATTTTAAAATATTTTGAAATTATTTCTACTAGAGTTGCACTGAATCAACTTGGGGTTAATGGACGCAAGTTACTGAATCTTCCAATCCATGAACAAGGTTTCTTTGTCCTGTTTTATACACTTTCTTTAATATATCTCAATAAAATTTTATTTTTCTCTATGAAGGTCTTCCCTATCATTTATGTCTTGAAATCTTGTAAATGGTAACTTATAAATTATGTTTTCTCCTGGTTTGCAGACATATTGAAATAGACGTTTTATTTACATTAATTATGTATCCAGTAAAGTTGCTATAATTTTATATTATTTCTAATAACTTATCTATAGGTACTCTTTGAGATTTCTAAATAGGCAATCTCACTGTATGTGAATAACAGTTTCACTTCTTCCTTTACAATTTATTTCTTTAATTTCTTTAACTTGCCTACCAGTACAATGTAAAATATAAAAAGTGACTGATTTTCAAATGTTAAACCATACTTGCATTCCTGGCTAAACCCAACCTCGTTATGATATATTATCTCTTTTATATGTTGCTTCATATGATTTGCCAATATTTTGTTTAGGAATTTTTTTGCATTGTTTTCATGAATGGGATGGACTTACACGTATTTTCTTTCTCATCATTGTTAGGTTTTGGTACTAAGGTTCTGTCTTATTACTTCATACATCTCACACTCTCAAAGTTTTACTGCATTTCTGGTATCAAGGCTGTACTACTTTAGTTTTTATGTCTTCTGGAATAAGTTATATACAACTACATATATTTGTTCTAGTTTGGTACAACTGATAATAAAATAATTTTGACCTTATCTTTTTTTCCTTTCTTCTTTCTCTTTCTTTTCTTTTTCTCCCTCCCTTCTATTTTCTGTTCTTTGTTACTCATGGTCCTTTATTTCCCTGTGAACTTTGTACTTTGAAACTGTAAACTCATATTTCTTGAAACTTTAACTTTTTTCTTTGAGTAAAGATGAATGCGCAAGGAAAGATATGCTTTTTTTTTTTCTTCTGAAAAGTAACATAAATTAAGGCTACTTGTGATCACAATTTCTTAGAAAAAAAATTTTTTTGCCCTTCCACTCAGCACCCAAGATTTGACACGGGCAATTTTCCACGCAGACCCTGGGTTGGTAGATTTATTTTCACCTTACAGAAAAGTGTAGTCCATGGAGTTCCAGCTTTATGGTGAAGTTTCCTAATTAGGCATCCCACATCAGGTAGACCCTGGGTTTTGTCTACTATAACTCAAAGCAATACAAATTACAGTACCATCATAACATTTAAGTATTAATGATAATTATGACATTATGATGAGTGAAAGAAGCACTACAAGAAAAGTATGTTGCACTTTTATTCTAATGACATTCTAGAATTGGAGAAATTAACTTATAGTTTCAAAAAGCTGACTGAATAGCTGTTTCAGGCTGAGAGTGACTACAAAGTTCCATAAGGTAAATATTTGAGGTAATAAAAATGTCTTATATCTTGATTATGGTGGTGATTACTCATCAAATTCTTAACTTAAATACACTTAAAATTGGCGTATTTTATTGTATGTAAATTATTACTCACTGAAGTTGATATTTAAATGGGGCTATGTGATAACATACCAAATTATACATTTAAGATATGTGCATTTCACTCTATGTCAAATTTATCTCAATAAATCCATTAAAAAATCCCTTTAGGAACTGAAACTTCAGAAACCAATTAGAGTTTTTAACATCCTTACTAGCCTCAATATCAGTTAAAAATGAATAAAGCCTTTATGAAGCCTGCCAAAACTCCATGATAAAGCAGCTTTACCATCTCAGTCCTTGGTCAAGTCACCATTCAGTTTTTATTGCAGATGGAAATGTATTTGTGTGATAGAAAATATGTTTCTATGATTTAAGGCTATTTCTAAGTGAATACACTGGGAAGGAGGGAAGGATATATATATATATGCAACATTGTAATTTAGGCCATTTTGACTATTCTGTTTTAACTGCCGGTTTATTTAGTTATGACTAAAAAGAAGGCATGTTAATGTGAGTCATCAAGTTGCTATTTTGATAGTCCCAAAGGTTTTCAAGGGATAAAATATGCATATTTATTTTTTCTGATTTTACATGAAAAAGATTGTGGTTTAGTGTGATAGAGATAGGGTCTTCTTGCAAATTCATGGACTCTCAAGACAATTAAAATGTTGTAGTAAGCAAAAGCCCATTGAAACCTGTCTTAGAAAAGATTATAGGCTAATGGGGGAAATTTATGGATAAATAATGATAGAAAGAGATACACACAGTGCTACTGACACACTTTTAAAAGGCTGCTAGCCCAACAATGTTTTGTGAAAGAGATGAAAACAGAACGCTGAAAGGCAAACAGTTTAAGTTGACATACAAGGACAGCAAAGTCAGTGTATTAAACACCGTAAAACATGGAGGAAACAAAAGGCATGGAAAAACCAGGGGATCCTCATGGCCCCTGGGAAAGTAAGTCTGTTTCCCAGGCATCCATCTCTTACTGTGTCTTTTAGCATTTTGGAACTTTTTGGTGAATATTCAACTTATAAACTATACATTTTTAAATTCAGAAAAATACTGTCATTTGTGTTAGTTTCAATGACATCTCTTTAACACTGCAAACTCGGTGTTTCATCATCATAATATTGAATTGTTCTAGCATAGTTTCAGGGAGTACAAAGCCTACACTTTTGGAGAAATTTAATTACATGGAAGAATTTGATAAAGTTTATTTGGTATTTTGTATCTAGCTCACAAGTAAATAACATCACAATGTAGCAGTGGGAAGGAAAATATATTCAAATCATTTGCATCATAATTTTTAAAAATCAAAGATGAATCTTCATTGTTTAGATGAAGGCTCCTATCCTAACCTCTATCTCCACCTGACACTACCCACCCTTCTGTCTGTACACAGTGCTATTAATAAGTAACATCTCCATATACAAAGAATATTTCTAGAGAGAATCTTTCAAGTACAGGAAGATGTCTACACCCTGAGACCAGAGTGTGTCTGAGGTATGTGTGTGGGGGTGGTAATATGTGTTTGTGGTGTGTGTGTGTGGCGTGTCATATGTGTGGGTATGTGGGATGTGTGTTGTGTGTGGGGTGTGTGTGTGTGAGGTGTGTATGTAGTGCATGTGTCACATGTGTGTGGTGTGTGAGTGTGGCGTGTGTGTGGGTGTGTGTGGTGTGAGTGTGGGGTGTGTGTGCGTGTGTGTGTGAGGTGTGTGGTGTGAGTGTGGTGTGTGTGGGTATGTGTGGTGTGTGTGTAGAATGTATGTGGGAATGTGTGTGGGGGGGGTACGTGTGGTGTATGGGGGTGTGTGGGGGTATGTGTGGTGTGAGTGTGGTCCATGGGTGTGTGTGTGTGTGAAGCATGTGTATACATGCTTAGGCTACATCACCTATGGATAGGGCCTTCAATTGAATGTTTTCCAAGCACCTTGTGATTCTGGGTTTCAGTGATAATGACCATTGCTATAGATTTGGGGATCATAAACCAAAGGATATAATTAAATTTAATGACTTTAAAGATCCAACCAAATTGGAGTCTGTTCACAAACAGGCTGTTAAAAAGGTTTTATATTTCTTTTATTCTTCAGGCTCCTCTAATTGCCATAAATCAGTCTGCCTTTTACATACACTTGACCTCCATTTTTAAGCACTGCTATCTATATTAACAGCAACTAAACATAATGAGAATTATTTTGTTAAAGTATAGTAACATTTTAGATATTTTGGTACGTCTATCATATAAATCATGCAAACAAATACTACCATAATTTAAAGACAAATGTATTTAGTGTTTTGAAAAATCAAGAACTTTGTGTCAAAAGATTATTTCCTAAAAAAGTACTGGATTTACAGACAATATAAATCACTACATATATTGTTACTTTGCAGCTTCATACAGACCTGCTGTTGGACATTTATTTTTTCCTTTGAATTTGAATCACAAAATATTTAAAGTGTTAGGGGTTAAAAATATCCATGGCTAAATTTTAAGAAATGAGTCTAAATTGCCAAACCTATACCTAAAATATATGCTATGTTTCAGAATTAAATGTCTCTTGAATGATTATTTTCAAACTATTATTCAATGCACAAAACACATGGCTCTAGAGAAGTTCTTCAGAATATACACATAGTTAATAAGGCACAAAGAATATTTAATTTTAAATATGAAGCAGGAAAGTACAGGTAAGCATTACTTTTAACCAGAAAACAAACCTTAAGAAAATAGTTGTTATTGTTATTGCAGTTGCCAGACACTCCTTGTAATTCAGCCACAGTGTTCTAGAATGGTTGACAAAAAATATTAAAGCAGGCTTACCCCGCACCGCAAAGAGAGCAGCCTAATGATAAAGGATAGAAAAACACTGAGGTCCCAGTGCTTATTGTAATACACACTGTTAAGTGCTGCATGTTGGTTAAAAAAAAAAAATGTCCCCACTCTTAGTTTCTCAGTATTATAGATACAGTATACAGTCTATTTACATTATTATAATCACATTATTAAAAGGCCAACCATAATAACTGCCAATACTTGTTCATACTCACAAGCTATTTCCAACTAGGAACGGCAAACAGAAAGAGTCAAATTAATGTTATCCCTCTAACACTTTTTATAACATAAATATATTCTTGTATACCTTTTAATACTTATGCAAACCAAAGCTTCCATTATATTTTTGCCTCTAATTATTACATACTAACACAAGCAATAAACACCCATACCTATGTGGGCAGCTACTCTAAATTGTATTCAATACTTTAAAAGATTCTTAAAAATAATGTTGCTATAATATTGTTATAATGATATTAATTTCCAGTAATGAAAACAAATTATGAAAGAAAGATTCAATTATATTTTAGAAGGAGCTTCAATTTCTGGAGTGATGATTAACCTTGTTATGAACTACTGCCTAAGGAGACTCTGAAATGCTATCTATAAGCTAAGACTTCACAATGTAATAAATATTATGTCTCAAAAGAATATTTAAGGAAGCCAAATAATTATAATTTTTAAAGTACAATAGTTTATTTTAATTTCAATGACCATACCTATTTTCTAATTCAAATATGGAATGTAGTACCAGTCCATACTCTATTTCCAGTGTGAGCCTGCAGTACTTCAAACTGTATCAGGCTCTTTAATAACATATATAAAGATACTACACAAAATATATACCATAATTACCTCATCTCACTACTAAAAGGCTAAACACTGACAGTTGTGGAGTATGACAAGAGATTAAATGTTATTAAAAAGTTAAATTCTAGCTGAAAAATTTATCATACCCTCCAAGTGTCATGAAATAGCGCTGACTGTCTGAGGGATTTATTGAAATCCTCCCTGGCAACCTTTTAGATTGTTAAAAAAAAAAGAGAGAGAGAGAGAAAGAAAGAAAGCAAATGATCAATAATTCTATTAAATAGAAATTCAATAATGAATCACAGATATATTCAGATATACATTTAAAATTTTTCAATTGTTCAGATATTCATCTTCTCTTCTTCAACAGGATCCTCCTTTTTATTCTACAGCTTTTAGGCAAAGCCATTTTAGCTTTTTTTTTTTTTTTTTTTTTTTTTTAATCAGAATGTTTAACAGAAAGTAAACAAAAACAGGAATGCAAATTAAAATAAAATTGGCTGTTTGCTTATTTTAAACCCTTCTAATGATTTGGAGGAAGAAAAAACAGAAAAAGCAAAAATTTAAATAGTTAATCTTCATCAATATAGTTATTAGAGGTCCACTGTAGGTTTATAATTTCAGGATCTATTTATCACATTGCGATGTTTTCCAGGTAGTCAATTCAAGTAAGCAATTCCTCTCTGTCAATGTGACAAGTTCCAAGTTACAATCAACTTTGGATGATCTGATCAAAAACAGAAGCCATCTATCCTTCAGCAGACATTGTTGATCTAAGAGCTGGCTCTGGAAATCAGTTGGATGAACTTGGTTGCTCTGTATCTAATTAAAGGTTTTCCCAGCCAGTACAGGGAATGTCAAAGGGGATATTGTCAAATAAAAATAACTCTAACTTTAAAACCACAAGATGAATCTATAAATCACAAAAATGAAGAACCAAGTGACTGATTATACACATCCAGGGCCTGTTTTAACACAGATATATTAATTAATAAATTGTTCTATTATACATATAATTAACTCAATTATTTAAGGAGCATTTATTTATTACATAACCAATATTGGTTCTTCTCATTTCTTTTATGCCACTTCAATATTTTATTCTTCATTCATAAAGGGAGACAGAGAGTAAATAGAAAATGGAAAAAAGCACTCAATAAATTTAATATTTTTTACCCTCAGAAAAAAATAATTTGAATCAAGTGATAATTTGAAGTTTTAACACTGGAGTGGAATTTTGCTATTTGTACAGCTTTCATTTCTCTTGTGCACTGAAAATTAACAGTTGGATTTATCTGGGCACGTTTTGGTGAGGCAGTGTGTAACATAGAAGAAAGGAAGAAAACCCAAGTCACAGAGGAGGATGGAGATAGATACAAAGAGAAGTCTCCTTGACTTCTTTCCATAAAGTAAGTTACTTGAAGCAACACAGCAAGCACTTCGTTTTTACTTCTATAACTTGCAGAAAGAAAAAAAACAGGTTAACTAATTTAAAAAAAAAAAAACATTTGAGTACTCAATTATTCTTCCCTTTAAATTCTATAAAGATGACTCTATGGACTGTTGCCTAGAGTAAAATAATTATTCAAACACTTGATCTCCTTTTTATTAGAAATACAGAACAAAGAATCACAGAACCTAAACTCCATCACCCCAAACAGTAATTCTCTTAACATCATTTGTTGCCAAGTTATTCTGTGTCTGCCTGAATACAGACAGACCCAGCAGAAGTGTTCTGTACACTCTACTCAAAAACAGCAGAGTGTGTTGCAAAGAGTCCAGTCTTTGGAGCCAGCAAGACCTTACTCCAATTCCAACTCTGCTAACTACTGGATGTAACACTAGAAAAAACCTCAGTTGCTGCATTTGTTGGAAAAAAAGAAAATCTCTTCTGGCTGCATTAAAGATTAAATGAGATGATGTAGGAAAGACACCTTACAAAGTGCCTGCCACTAAATATGTACTTAATTTCCTTGCCCCTGAAAATATCTGCTCAGATGACAACTCTGATTACCTTACAAAAACAAGCAAACAAGAAAACTTATAAGCAATCTTCTATTTAGGACGTGATATATTACTAAGTATAAATGTCAAGCAAAAAATATTCTTTATCCATCTATTCAAATTATCAAGTTAAAGAAGACTTTGGGCCAGGAGTGGTAGCTCTCACCTGTAAACCCAGCACTTTGGGAGGCCGGGGCAGGAGGATTGCTTGAGGCCAGGAGTTTAAGACAGGCCTGGACAACATAGTGAGACCTCATCTCCACAAACAAACAAACAAAAAGACTTTTTTTTTTTTTTTTTTAAATTAGCAATACGTGGTTCTGTGTGCCTATACCCCAGGTACTTAGGAGGCTGAAGCAAGGCAGGAGGTTGGCTTAAGCTAAGGAGTTTGAGGATACAGTGACCTATGCTTGCGTCATTGCACTCCAGCCTAGGTGGCAGAGCAAGACCCTGTGTCTTTAAAAAAAAAAAAAAAAAAGCAAAATCTTATATCAACTTTTAGGGATAAATGTGATAATATTTCAGTGCCTCAAAATAACTGCAGTAAATGTGTGGTCTGTGATCTAAATGTTTCACCTGGAGTGCCTTAAAAATTTGACTATCTTCTTTGCCCTGTCCTTATTAAACCTGATGTCTTATTTCATATTCATGGAACATTAGAAGCTAGAAGGAATTTTATGACCTAACCCAATCCCTGTGCTTTCAGGCCAAAGAAACCAAGGCACACAGATTAGAAAGCCTGGCCACATCCCCTTCCACCACTTGATGTCACTGTACTCCCTGAACCTAAGACCAAAAATCCTTCTAGCACAGTGAGAAGGCAAAAATCAAACCTGCAGAGAATGATTCTACAATCTCAGAATAAGCTTGCAGCCAAAGTAAATCAGTGTCTCTGATAAAATACAATATACTAATGTAGAGAATTGAAAACGAGGTAAGATACAAGTTTGAAACATTTGAGGAAATCCCTTCTTTAATTTGAAAATCCAAGACAACATTATTCATACAAAGTATCTCAGTGTGATGAAAATATACTCACCATTTCAAATGGATTCATCCAGTAAGAAAATCAATCAAGTTCTAAGAGTCTAATTCATTCATTTAAGGGCTTTCTACTGTGTTATCCGATGATCAAAAGCTAACGGATATACCACCTCTAATTTTCTGCTATAATAAGTGAGGAATATAACCTCATCATATTACATACTCATGAGATCGTAATATACATTAGGGTTAAAACATCTCAGATTAAAAATACATGAAAAATATTTGAAAGTCTGTTTATTAATCTCTATGACCTGGCTAGAAAGCAGTATTCTGAAAAATTATATATTCAGATAAGAAGGGGTTGAATATATGAATTTCCACTGTGGTTATATCAGTTGGAGTAAAGAATATTTGTTATATCTAAATATGTACAAGTTTATGGAGTATAAAATACTACAATTAAATTGTTGATGGATCTTTTGACATGCCAATATGAAACATGTGCATGTTTACTGTGTTTATAATAAAGCATGTTGTCCCATTATAGCAATGTGCATTTGGCAATGACATTAGAAATAGAACAGCATCTGTATTATATTACAGCACACAAGGGTTCTGGAGAGCTGTTTTCACTTGGGGGTTAGCTTCTATTCATTTATTTGATCTTCTACAGAAAGCAGGATGTAAAATTATTCCAATATGTATCTACTCAATGGAACATGTGCTAGTGGAAAGCTCTGTTCTGCATTGTGTTAGCACAAATCATAGTGAGCAGATCCAAAGAACTTTCTCTTCCTAAGGGGAAAAGACACTGGAAACACTCAGCAATCTATAGTACTTTTCTGTGTATATTTCTATGTGTATGGGTATGTTTACTGATTTTTTTGGAAAAGCATTACATACTATCGCAGGACATTTGGAAAAGATTGAAAAAATAAAAAGCAGAGAGAGAGGAAAATCACCCGATTCCAGCAATAAGGACAGACATTATTCACATTTTTGTGTTTTTATCCTTTTCTGTTTCTATGACTTCCTTTCTAATAGTGAAAAGATAAGACTTATTTGTATCCACAAACTTCATACTATAAACTAGATACCATGACTTGATTCTTAAGTGAATATCAGATGCAAGTAGTATTTCTTTCCTACGGTAGAATTTTAGTTCAATGTAGACATACCTTCCTCGAGAAACTGCATCAAACCTGTCATACTGTTATACAGCAGAGCATTTCATGAATTAGAAAATGTGGAAAAAAGAATCTGCAAGCACTACTGACCTCATCATCGTCGGCATCATACTGAGCATAGTGCTGTTCCAGCAGCTCTCTCTGGCGCCTCTCCTGTTCCAGTGTCTGGCTTATCAACTGGGCAACCTCACTCACTTGTCCTGGTTTTTCCCGCCCAATAACAAATCTGTGGAAAGGTTAACAAAGACTAATATTCAAAACTTTCCAGCAAAAAGGAGTGTTAAGTAAAATAACCAGGTTTGATCTCAGCAGCGTCTGTCAAGCCTGAAGAAAGTAACATCACCTACATACTTCAAAATAGTTTTCTTGGGTGAGGGGAAAGGTTAGCTGAGTAATTGAAGTGATTTTTAGGGATACAGCTCATAAAGGAAGAGAAGGGGGAAAAAAGTAAAGGACCATAAAAATTACCATTTTAAGAGAAGACTTAACATATGTAACCCATTTTGCAGTACTTTATACATTTTTGATGCCATGCAAAATGGAAGCAAGCTCATAATTTCCTGTACCATTGAACTCAAGAGTCATTTGCATAACCCTAACAAAAATTGCTTCAAAAACATTTGATGGCCGGGAGCAGTGGCTCATGCCTGTAATCCCAACACTTTGGGATGCCAAGGTGGGTGGATCACCTGAGGTCAGTAGTTCAATACCAGCCTGGCCAAGATGGCGAAACCCGGTCTCTACTAAATATACAAAAATTAGCTAGGTATGGTGGCGCATGCCTGTAGTCCCAGCTACTCCAGTGGCTGAGGCACAAGAATCGCTTGAACCTGAGAGGCGGAGATTGCAGTTAGCCCAGATCGTGCCACTGCGCTCCAGCCTGGGTGACAGAGTGAGACTCCGTCTCAAAACAAAAACAACAAAACATTTTGAGGTATAGCATAACTTAGGTGGCTAAATATATAACTTTGAAAATAAGAGAAAGGGAACACAGGTAGTGGTTTTTGTTTTAAAAATGAAAAGCTATAATAAGAGATGGTGAATTAATTCACTTCTTTTTGGGAAAGACAGTATGAGAAAAGGTGTGGTTCAATAAATAAAGGGAGAAAAGAAAATATTTGTTGATACTAATTCCTGTTTAAAAAAAAAAAAAAAGCCTGAAGAAAAAACCGAGGAAGACATTTCCTTTTTGCAAGCTACAGTCATGGTATATTCTTGTCAATGTAATGTGTTGTGCTCACCAATTTAATATTCATTTTTATACATCTTTTCATACTACTATATGCTTCTGTTTTTCTAAAAATATAAATAATGTGTCTCTAGGACTCAGTTTCTAAATATTACTTATTATTTTAATGTGAATCTTTGTTTAAATCTTGTTTCTACATTTAATTGATGCTTTCCTCTGATTAAAGTACGTTGCCGTCTTCAATCAATTTTAAATGAAATATACAACTTTTCTGCACGATACACTAAAGATCAAAATTTTTCACACTTAGATGTCAGTAATTAATTACCTTTTAAGAAATACTTTTATATAGCTTCAAGCAAGACTTCCTTTAAAATTATGTTTAAGTGTTCACTTATCTTTTATTTTCCTTTGGAAATAAGTGTTAATAGAATTTATAAATACTATCACTTCTCATCTTTATTCAGGTACAATTTATACACAATAAAATACATGAATTTTAAATGTATAGTTCAATAACTGTGATACATATGTAAACATGTAATTACACATCAATTAAGATACAGAACATTTCCATCAACCCAAAATATTCCCTTATATTCCTTTCCAGTAAGTTATCTTCATCCTGGTTCATATTCATCTTTTAAAATTTTATTTATATAGAAATAAAATTTTAGAGTGTCTAGCTTGTTTGGCTCACCACAATGTTTTGGAGGTTTATCCATGTTGCTGTAAGTATCAGTTATTTGCTCCTTTTTATCACTAAAGAGTATTTTATTGCATTGAATATACTACATTTGGCTTATCTATTTTTTTACTGATAGGTATTTGGGTTGACATTATTTAAAAAGTTACTTTTAGAGAGACCTCAGAAAGAACACCACACAACTACAACCATGTGATCTTTGACAAACCTGACAAAAACAAGCAATGGGAAAGGATTCCTTATTTAATAAATGGTGTTGGGAAAACTGGCTAGCCATATGCAGAAAGCTGACTGGATCCCTTCCTTATACCTTATACAAAAATTGACTCTAGATGGATTAAAGATTTAAACATGAGGCCTAACACCATAAAAACTCTAGAAGAAAACCTAGGCAATACAATCCAGGACATAGGCATTGGCAAGGACTTCATGACTAAAACACCAAAAGCAATGGCCAAGAAAAGCCAAAAGAGACAAATGGGTTCTAATTAAACTTAAGAGCTCTGCACAGTAAAAGAAACTATCAACAGAGTGAACTGGCAACCAACAGCATGGGAAAAAATTTTTGCAATCTACCCATCTGAAAAAGAGCTAATACCCAGAATCTACAGAGAACTTAAACAAATTTACAAGGAAAAAAACAAACAACCTCATCAAAAAGTAGGTGAAGGATATAAACAGACACTTTTCAAAAGAAGACATTTATGCAGCCAACAAACATATGAAAAAAAGGCCATCATCACTGGTCATTAGAGAAATGCAAATCAAAAGCACATGGAGATACCACCTCATGCCAGTTAAAATGGTGATCATTAAATCAGGAGACAACAGATGCTGGATGTGGAAAAATAGGAATGCTTTTACATTGTTGGTGGGAGTGTACATTAATTCAACCATTGTAGAAGACAGTGTAGCCATTCCTCAAGGATTTAGAACCAGAAATCCCATTACTGGGTATATATCCAAAGGATTATAAATCATTCTATTAAAAAGACACATGCAAATGTATGTTTATTGTGGCACTGTTAACAATAGCAAAGACTTGGAACCAATCCAAATGCCCATCAATGACAGACTGGATAAGAAAATGTGGCACATATACACCATGGAATATTATGCAGCCATAAAAAAGGATGAGTTCACGTCCTTTGAAGGGACATGGATGAAACTGGAAACCGTCATCCTCAGCAAACTGACACAAGAACAGAAAACCAAACACTGCATGTTCTCACTCGTAAGTAGGTGCTGAACAATGAGAACACATGGACACAAGGAGGGTAACATCACACACTGGGGCCTGGGGGGTGGGGGGACTAGGGGAGTAATATCAGGGAGTGGGGGGATTGGGAAAGGATATTATTAGGAGAAATACCTAATGTAGATGACTGGGCGATGGATGCAGCAAACCACCACCATGGCACATGTATACCTATGCAACAAACCTGCATGATCTGCACATGTACCTCAGAACCTAAAGTATAATAAATAAATTAAAAATAAATAAATAAAATAGATTTTTTAAAATTAAAATAAAAGTAAAGTTACTTTTAAACATTTGTGAACAAGTCTTTGTGTGAACATAAGTTTTCATTTCCTTTAGACAAATAATGAAATTGATGAGTCATAGGTAAATGTATATTTAACTTATAAAGAAATTGTCAAACTGTTTTTCGAAGTAATAGTATCATTTCATATTCCCATTAGCACTACATAAAAGTTGTAGTTGCTTTGCACCCTCATCAACACTTAGTACGTCTTTTAAATTTTTGACCATTCTAGCAGGTATCTCATGGTACTTCATAATGGTTTTAATTTCCTCTGCCCTGATGACTAACAATATTAAGTATATATGCACTTATTGACTATTCACATATCATCTCCAGTGAAACATCTTTCCAAATCTTTTACCCATTATTGAAAATTGGATTGTCTTTCTATTATTGAGTTATAATGGTTCTTTACAGGCAAAGTACATATACACACATGAGTGTGTGTATTTTTGTTTTTTTAAACAGAGTCTTCCTCTGTCATGCAGGCTGGAGCACAGTGGCATGATCACAGTTCACTGTATCCTAGAACTCTTGGCTCAAGCAATCCTCCTGCCTCAGCCTTCTGAGTTGCTGAGATAACAGGCATGTGCCCTGGCAAAGATCATTTCATAATTTTTTGTAGGGATGGCATCTCATTGTTTTGCCCACGCTGTTCTTGAATTCTTGGCCTCAAGTCTTCCACTCACTTTGGCCCCCCAAAGTGTTGGGATTACAGGCGTGAGCCCCTGCACCTGGCCCTTTATATATTCTTGATACATAACCTTGTCCCTGTACGTTCAATACACATATACAAACACACACACACATACACACACAATATACATGTGTATGTTTATGCATTTAATTTATTTATTAACTTGTCCTAGTCTGTGGCTTACTCTTTCATCTTTAAATTGTGTCTTTTAAGGAAGTCTAATTTATCACTTTGTTATAAAAATTCATGCTGGACATGGTGGCTCCTGCCTGTAATGCCATTATTTTGGGAGACCAAAATGGGAGGACTGCTTGAGCCCAGGAGTTCAAGACCAGTCTAAGCAACACAGTGAGACCCATCTCTTAAATAAAACAAAATAACCAGGTGTGGTTGCATGTACCTGTTGTTTTAGCTACTTGGGAGGCTGAAGTGGGAGGACTGTTTGACCCCAGGAGGTCAAGGCTGCAGTAAGCCATGATTGAACCTATGCTCTCCAGCCTGGGAGACAGAGCAAGACCCTGTCTCAAGAAAAAAAAAAAAAATTAATGCCTTTTGCTTCCTATCTAAAAAGCTTCTGCCTGATTTAAGATTGCTAAGATTTTCTCCAATTTTTCTTCTTAATGTGTTAATGTTTTGCTTTTATATTAGGTCTATGATATCTTGTAAATTAATTTTCCATGTATGATGTGTGGTGAGGGTGGAGTTTCCATTCTTTTTTCTAAATGGATCATGAATTGTTTTAACGCCATATGCCAATACCACACTTCTCTGATTACTATATGGTAAGCCTTCAAACTAGGTGGTGTGAGTTCTCTAACTCTGTATCAATTGTTTTTCCTCTGCAATTATTTCTAACAGAAAGCCCACTGGGTTTAGTTTAGAATTGCTTTGAATCTATAATTTGTGGAGAACTGACATCTTAATAAAATTGACTCGTCTGATCACTGAACATGTATCTCTGTATTCATTCAATAATATACTACAGTTTTCAGTACACGGGTCTTAAAAATCGTTTGTTAAATTTACTTCTAGGTACTTCACAGTTTTTGTTTTTTTTTATTGTAAGTGATACTGGGTTTTAACTTTC